GCTTGTAATATTGTTTTTCTGAGTTGCTATATTCAAGATATGTAATTCACATATTTATATTCTATATATATCTACATATTTGTTGTGACAGATAAAAATATAAACAATATTGTCTGATTTGAAAAGTAAACAATACATTGATCTTTGAAGAAGATAAGCTGAATTGATCACTTTTTACAAAATTTTTCTTGAAAAAAAAGTAGAGAGCCAACAAAGGTATGTGAGATTCTTCTATAAGTTTTACAGTCATATAGTTTGTTCTACAAGATTATATTATCATAGCAAGAGCCATTTCACTACTTGCTTCTAGAATAAACCTTCTAGTTTAGATACCAAATATCTTGGAAAGTCTACTAAGAAGAAAGTTTGATCTTAAGAAAAACTACTTAAGTTATATCTGCTTCTCAGTATTTTACGTCTTTCAAATTTCATCAACAGCAACCTGTTTAGAGATAAGTTCAGTTTTCAGAATAAACCTTCTGGTTTAGATACCAAATATCTTGAGGAGTTCACCATACAAGAAGCTTGATCTCAAAAAAACTATCCAAGTTACATCTGCTTTTCAGTATTTCACATCTTTAGGCTTTGTTGACAACTGTTTACTCAAAAATAAGACTGCAAATAGTATATATCTTGAGACTTCCTATATCATTTTTCTGTAGTTCAGTTTTTTGTTACATTGTTTAGAGGATTATCAAAAAGAGTTTGTCTTAAATATAATATATAAACATAATATATATATATCTTTATTATAAATATATTTTTAGTAAATTATTTAAATTTATATAAATTTAATATTGTATAGTATATATTATTTAAGTTTATTAAAATATATTAGTAGTAGAATATTGTTATATAATGTATCATATATTTGGTACATCTCTTGTATCTTAAAATTTTATTAAAATAACTTCTGTTATATAACTAATAAAAATATTTATTATACAATTTTAAACCTAACCTAACCAAAACTCTAATTTTAATTTTAACTCTAATATAAATAATAATATATTTTAATTATTTGCTTATAATGCAAAATTTTACTAGAATAATTTTTGCTATGTAATTAATAAAAATATTTTTTATATAGTACAGAATACTTTAAACCAGCAAATAAAAACTAATAATTTTTTAAAATTCTTTATAAAATAAAAAATATAGCTAAAAAAATTTTTTATAAAAATATACCAAAAAACATACAAAACAAAGTTATAGAATTTATTTTTTAATTTAATAAATTTTAATAATGCTAATACTTTTTAAAGTTACCAATAAAATATAAATTTAGCCACTTATATATAAAAATATAATATAGTTAACAACAATTAAAACTAAACTAAGAATGTGATGATATAGTGAAGTGATAAAGTTGTCACATCCTCAAGCAGCATATCCAGAGTTCGAATCCTACTGTCAACAAAATTCGAATATTCTGTTGTGAAATAGTTACTGTTTCTCATCAATCAGTCAGATTTAGAATCTGTAACCAAGATTGTACCAGTTATCTGAGAAGATTATTATCTGTATAAAACTAAAAAATCAGAGAGATACCTGTTTGGCAAGATCCAAGTGGAGAGGTAGCACAAACCTTTAACAGTACTATATAAAGAATTATTACTAGAAAAAATTAAAAAACTAAATAAGACTGAGATATATAGCAAAAGCATCTCACCAACCAGGTTTCAGAGTAAAGGAAAAAGATCTATATAATTGCAATTATCAGAGACTGGTAACCTACAGACAAAAGTCTCTCCTGGGCTATCTGAATTGGTAGATTAAAATAGTCAGATCAAACTAGAAAAACTGAATAGACAAAGTATTTAAGGAAGTACTTTCACCAACCAGGCTACCAGAACTAGAGAAAAAGAATTTGCTTAATTTGTGATTATCAAAAAACCAGTAACTTTTGGAAAAAGTCCCTCTTAGGCTATCTGAATTGGTAGTTTAGAATTTGAAAAGTATTTGTAATAGTCTGTAAAATGGGTACTGGGGTTTGAATAAACTTTATAAGTGCAAAAGTAGGTAATAGTAATGGCTTAGCTCGCAAATACTTGTTCTTAGACTTGGTGTAAGTTACTGAAATCTAGGTTAGCTGGATTGTAGATATGAAAAGCTCTAGCAGGTTTACCTTAAGGATAAAGGGCTTTCTAAAATGGTTAAAGCCTGCTTTAAATCCTAAGCCAAATGTCTAAAAATAAGGGTTCGCACTGGATTCTTGCTTGGTTATAAAGGTTAACTTCATAGATGACAAAGTTTAAATAGATAACCCTCTAGTTGGATTATAAGTATGGTATTTAGTATAAAACTTAGTAATAAATGAACTACTTAAATAAACAATCAAAGTTGTATATATGGCTAGTATATATTCTCCAAATATATATACTGTACAGGCTCTAATAAGAGCTTAGCGTATAGTAAAGTTAACTAATAATTGAATAAAAAGAGATAGCCAAGAAGTTACCTTAATATTGAAAAAAAAACTAAAACTAAATTACAGAAAAACAATATAAAAACTTCTAAAACAGATATTATTCTTAGTTTTAACTCGAGTAAACTATTGTCAACAAAGCCTAGAAAATGTAAACTACTAAGAAGTAGACATTAAATATATGGTTTTTATTGAGGTTAAACCCTTGTATTTTTTAGTGAACTCTTTAAGATATTTGGTATCCAAATCAGAAGAGCTATTCTGAGAACAAGTCTATTTGAAGTAGATTGTTATCAATGAAATTTAAAAGATATGAAATACTGAGAAGCAAATATAACTAAGGTAGTTTTTCTTAGAATCAAACTTTCTTGTATTAGTAGATTTTTTAAGATATTTGGCATCTAAACCAAAAGATTTATTCTAGAAATAAGTTCTCTAAAATAGTAAAAATCTATAAAAATATATATACAACTATAAAACTTACTGAAGAAACTCATACTTTACTATTGGCCCACCATTTTTTTTTTCAAAAAAATTTTTGTAAAAAATAGATGTCTTAAAGAAAAGTCATTTATTAGCTAATATTTTTTTATTAAAAGGCTACTCCCCTCCTCCTACCTAATTTTAAATAAAAAATTTTAATTGGCTAAAACTATATATCTGATAATTTTTTTTATCCTTTCTCTCCTAAAAAATCAGCTAATTTCTAGTACTTCTTTTAATTTATTCCCTCCAAAAAATCGATATTATGTAAATCAAAACAGTTTGCATTATTTATTTTCCAAATTAGATAGATAACAACAAACATATACAATAATATACATATGCTTCAAATACAGAATATTTGTACAAACAATGATCTAAAATAGTATCTAACCTTTCTACAAGTCTAGTCAATAAAGTTTTTCTACAAAGTTTTTTTACTTTAATATACTAAGTAAATAAATTTAGAGTAAAAACTAGTTTATTTAATAGTATGTAATTTTTACAAGCCTTTTACAGGTTTATAACTATGATATTAGATTATACAATTTTCTTTTATATATTTTTTTTACTACTTCCTTACCTTTTTTATTTCTTGTTTATATTTTTTTACTATAGATCTCTATATCTTTGTTTTGTTTTTCTTTTAGTATTTTTTTGTTTTTGCTACTTAATATAAAATATTAGCTTTAGCTAAGAATCAGAGGTATCAAATTCTCAGAAAGTTGAGGATCTGATATAAAGTGAAATGGCTACTTTGATGGATCACACCTGGGCCTTTTAGTCAAGTAAGTTTTTATTAAAATAAAATATAGTACACAAAAATTATATTAGTATCACTAGCCAAGAAATATGATTTTTTGATACTTTTAAAAATAATAAAGGCAGTATTATCTAAAAAAAAAATATATATATATATAAAGAGTTATGTAATTTAGCGTATATGCATTGTAACGCACCCCTGATCAACCAATTAAAATGTAAGATCAGATGTAATATTACACGATCAGAAAAATTCAAAACAAAGCGTTCATTTTTTAAAAAACACTTATAATGCAAAATTTCGTACATGCAACTATCTTTTGGGTTCTAACAAAAAAAATTCCTTGCAAGATTTTACTATAAGTCTATTTTTTATGTCTACCCTAACCTTACCTAATGCTAACCCTAATCACGTAACAAACCATTGTTTTGATTTTATGTTATATCTGATCTTATGGGATACGTTACAACACATCTATACAAAATGATTAAATCTATATATAAAACATAATAATTTTTTTTTAAAAATATAATAAATTTTTAAGAAAATAACCAATTAAAATTTAATATTTTGTCTTAAATTTGGCTACTTTTAAAAAAAGATGCTGGTTTAAGATGTTCTGCACTATACAATTTTACTAATAAGATAATACCTGTTTTAACTTTAATTCTTATATTAATACTAATATTACACTTATTAGATATCTACAAGGGGGTGCACTAGTATACCATTTAACATTTTTCTAGTAGTATTTAACATTATAATTATTATATTTTAAAAACTAACTAAAATCAAAATTAGTTATAATTAAATATTTATTATTACTTTTTTTGGTAAACAATATATATTACTTATAAAAATTGTCTAACTTTGTAATCAAAATTCTTTTTGGTTTTATTTTTAATCACCCTTGAAATTTTATAAGAAGATTTTCAAATACTAAAAAATTTGTAAAATAATATCTAGAAATTAACCAGCAACTTTTTTATTGTTAAATAAGTCTTTAAATCAGATTTTTTTAAAAAATTTGGATGTGTTAATCATTTAATCTACTATTAAAAATTTTATACAAATAATCTGAACTGATTAATATCGAATTTGCCATATATAAAAATTCACGATTTTGATTGGTCAATGGTAATAATCAAAAATTTAGACCAAAATTACTTCTGAAATCATGGCCGCCATTAAATGAAAACTGATCTAGCATTACCAAAAAATTTTACTAAAAAAAATTTTGCTATTAGATTGAAGTTAGGTTTTACTATTAAGCTAGATTTACATATTTTTGTGAGAATGCTACCTAAAATCTGAAAATCGTTTTTGATGTCTAATATTTATAAATTCATAATTATTGTAGCAAGTCTTCCAGTAATTATTTTGTGATCACTGTTGGAATTGTGGTATGCATTTTCTAGATGAATTCTTCATAACAATAATGATAAATAACCATAATCTAAGCCTTTTCAGCTCTGTCCTGTTTATTTCTTGATTGCCTTAAGTGCTTATTTTGGTTATCATTATCTTGTTCTTTGGATTCTGAAAAACATTATAACACACTTTCCTAATATGTTAACTATTGCTAAAATAGAATCTAAAGAATCTTTTCATATTCAGATATTTTTATAATATTATACCAAAATTACCGATCAAAAATATCATTACTCAATGAAAACGGAATAGTTTTGGCTAATGGTCTTTTTTTTTTAAAAGATTCATGATAAAATTGAACAAGAACTGAAAGAACAAAACACAGGGATTGTAAAGATCAAATTTCCTGTTAAAGAACTTGATGATCTTAATGTACGAGAAAAAATCCACAATACATTCAATACTGAAAGAATTGGATTTGATCTATTCATCAAAGTAAGTTTTACTGTGGCTTAAAAATATAAAAATATTTTTCAAATTTTAATGATTTTTATATAATTTCAGTATAATAGTGGAGAAAAAGAAATGATTCATGCAAACCTCAAACTATTTGTGTAGTCGAAAATAGAGATTTCAGACCTGATATTGGTGTGTGGTTTTAATGGCCAACACTTCTACAAAGGTGTATATCTATCATCTATACATGTCCACATCCTAATATTTAGATTGAGGTAATTTATTAATTTTGTTGTTTAAATGTGACCAGCAGTATGGTTTAGTGAATAATTAATACTCATTAAATATTTTTAAATATTTTACAATGTTAGTAGTGATTGTGACTATGCATTAAACAAAATCAATTGGCTTTAGCAGAATATGACCGGCATTGAATTTGTGGCAATAGCTCTTCCTACTGGACTAAACCTCTTTCATGATAATCCTAATCCTGGAATTAATACAACTAATGCAACTAGTCAATCTATGTGTCCTACTAGCATACTATATGTTTGTCATTGGGATTCAAATAATAACAAAATCTGGTACCAAATAGATTGGAATCATTATATTACTCTTAGATGTGGTCTAACAATAGATTTTAATGTTATACTTATTGAGTTGGTTTAAAGTTTTGCTTTTATTTTATATATTTCTTCTCTTGCATACATCTTAATATATAAAATATTTTGATTGAAACTTGGTAGCGAAGTTAATTTATTTATATATGAAATTTTATGATCATAATGGCACTAAAAAAAACAAACTTTACTGATATATTTTTTGTATAAATTAACTTTAATCAAAATATAGGCAAATTATAATTGCCAAAAACAAATTTAAAAGATTCAATTTAGGTAAATGTACCTAATGCTCCAGACCAACCTGAAACCCAACCCAAATTTTTAGGTCGACCACTTTTTGTTATGCAATTCTGTCTTATAATAACAATTGAGAAAATCTTTTCGATCAATTTGACCATAATGTGAAAAGTTATATATTATTATGTGTAATTGCTAAATGATTTTATGATATTTTTGATATTTTGTATTAAGTTCATAATTCTGTAGAAGTTTTGATTATATAATTTATATAATGCGTTGAATATTATTATCCATTATTCATTACTTATTTAAGAGATGTGAATTATAATAATACATAGTCTTTTGCTATTACTATATTGATAATAAAAAAGTAAGACGGATCCTTAATTTATACTTTGAAATTTTATATTTTATTACATCACAGACAAAAAGTTTTTAGAAATAAGGTGAATTAATTAGAAAATTTGATAAATGTCCAGCTTGTTAAGAACCAGTTAGAGCCAAAAGAGATCTGCTTATAAGTAGGGATTACTTACTAATAAGATTAAAATTCACTTACTCAAGAATTTTACTAACATATTTTTGCATAATTGATAGAGTAGAAAAAATGCAAGAATTTCAAACATGTAGCCAAACAAATAAATAATCAGCATAGAAAATACATATTATGAATACTATAGCAAATAAAAAACAAAATTGAAATTAAGGGTTAGGGCTCTATAGCTTAGTGGTCTAAGCACCTACCCCCCACAGCCGAGGTCTTTGGTTCAAGTCCTATTAGAAGCGGTTTCTAGAGTATTTAAATGCAAAACCCTGTGAAAGTCCAAATGAAGTACGAATTTGGTTTAGAAATTTCTGGAAGGAGATTCATTATAGAGAAGAAGGGTACTACGTATGACAATAACGTCACAGAAAGTTTGACGATAGGAAGGTTGCACGAGTAAATCCTGCAAGCAGCAAGGTAGCACCAACAACCCTAAGACTTTCTTGGGATCTTGATTTGGAAGGGTAATATAACTATTATACAGACTGGAGTGGTGAGAAAAGTGGCAAACATAAAGGGATCTGTGGTAAAAAAATTAGCCTAACCAAATAAGGAACACCTCTGGCAACCTATACTGATATGAAGTGGTTAATGTAGAGAGGTGCTACAGAATATCTGTGTACACGTAAAAGACTTGCATATCGCCAGTATAAGTCACACCCAATTGGAAGTCTCTGACAAAACACAAGACCAATATGGATATACCAATTCTAAAATACCAACCAATACAGCCGTAAGTTGGAAGTAATATTGTTATACAAAACTCGATTAGAAGTAGCTCTACTGGTTAGAATTACGTCCATGTCTAGGTCTATACCAATTTGGGAAGTACATAAATGAATATACTGTACATATATTCAAACAATAAGTCTACCACTAAAAAAGATATGAAGATCGGCGAGATGACTAAGGTAGCGATCTGAGGATTATCTAAAGTAGGATCCTATGTATGGATAGGTGTGTATACCAAATTGAGAGTACTTAGGTATGATGGCAGAAAAATTCTACCAATCTGGTAGTTTATATAGTATATGGTAAATATATTAAACATAACATAATAGTATAGAAATCCTGATATATACTAGAAATAGGGTTAGATAAATCAGGTAGGAAGATGCATTTGTGGATAAAATAGTCCTAAGCTGAAGTCTGACTAATTGTACTATAGTTACCACATAATTTGTAATTATAATTTACATAATAAAAAACGTAGGCAAAAGATGCTACCTTTAAAAAAAAAAAAAAAAAAAAAAAAAAAAATTGAAATTGATACCTACGAAGTGGCACAATTAGATAAGGCCTTATTTTTTCTTTTTGTTATCTATAATGATCTTCGCGATCTGCATAATTCTGTATAATGCTGGGGGACGTCTAAAGCGGAGATAAGTCTTTGCAGTAGAAAAGACCTAAATGCTATATATAATATATATAGCATTTAGGCCTTTTCTACTGCAAAACCCCTAATTATATATTTATACTTATTGAATTAGATTTGGTGTTAGGGTCATCTTATATTAGGGTTATGCTAGGTTTTAGGTAGTGATATATATTCAAAACTGCCTTCCCGACATTTTTGCTTAACCTACCCAAAGTAGATTTCGACGATCATCAAAATTCTATAATTTGATTGGCTAGTGGTCACATGACCTCTCTCCACTTTAGACAACCCCTAACGCTAATGCTGGCCATTTCTGGAAAATTTGAATTGCTCCCTGATGCTGTTCAATTGCCAGGTCTTGCCAGTATTTCAAGTCGGCCTAAATTATACTTAACGCTGAAACCCCGTATAATTTGCACTTACAATTTTGTCGCGCGCATAATTTTGAGGAGTCAACTACCCCAGGATCGCCAACAAAATTTCTATGTAATTTTTACCATCACGTGATGATCGACAAAAATAAGCCAATAATGAATCTCGATTTGGTGTAACGTCACGCGATCAGAAAATTTCAAAACAAACGTTCGTTTTGTCAAAAATCGCTTGTATCTCAAAATCTGCATAGGAAACCACCTCCTACGCATTAATAAAAAGTTTTTCTTGAGCGATTTTACTGTTAGAACCCTTAACTTTAACACTAAAATAGGCCCTCACCCTAACATAAATGAACTTAAAGAATTTTGTCGGACATCACGTGATGGTAAAAATTTTGTTGGCGATACTGGGGAAGATTGAGGAGTCCGGATTGTCATGTGATTTTTGTTGATTAAAAGATGAGTATTAATTGGATAATTAGATAGCATTGGTTAGCACTAAAGTTTTTTTTTTTTTTTTTTTTTAACGAATATTCTATATAATTTATAATGAATTGTTGTTTTTATCAAAAGCATCTTATGTTAAAGTAAAGTTAATGGGCATTATGTTGAAAATTATTTCTTTAAAAAGTAGAATGCATTGTTTCATACGTAATATAATGCTCATGGGCGTTATTTTTTAAAAGGTAGCATGCCTGTATGCGTCCTGAAATGAAGCAAACTTGATATATACATAATTATTACTGTATCACATTGTTTTAAAAATTCTGCCACTGTTTCAAAATGACGCGCATTGGCGTATTCAAAATAATTTGCAAGTGGGCGTTATTTCGTGAAAATATAGTATATACGCATAATAAATTTCTCTGCGCGTCATATTTCAGTTTTTGTGTGATGTCGATTAAATGACTTGTCGGTAAGACAGCTAGACACACAATAAATGTTATCATAGAAAATGCTGTCCTGAATAGTGAGATAATGATTATGTAATGGTAGTTTATTAGAACTGATGTTTTATTTTCTAAATAAGTGCTATATCCTTTTTGATTTTATACAATAGGATGAGGTTTAGTAAAGGATAGTTACCCTTGACCCTTGAGAAAAGATTAACGTCATGCTACGTACAGCATATCAAAGAATGCCACTGGAACATTGCATGCCAGTTATTTTTATATTTAGATCATTCACTAAATCATATTTATAGGTCATTCACTAAATCATATTTTATAGGTCATTTACCGCCACTATATATATATAATATTCGGCATCTCCCATGAATATTGTGGATTAAAGTAATAGATTACTGTATTTGTATTATTCAAGCATTGAGTCAGATGAATTATTTTGAGGGATATTGCATACAATGGCAAACGGTAGTGATGCAGGAGAATCTTATAAGTTACGGAAATAAAAAATTACGAAAAAAAGTTTTTAATACTATACAAGTGTAATTAATAATAAATTAAATGCTGATTCAAATTAAATGAAGAAATTGAATTAATTAGTAAAATGCAGAAACAAAGAATTATTGAATTATAATATACATTTTACTTTTAGCGTCTTCATTCATGCTTTATGATCATATGAATGCTGCAAGGAAAATGAAACTTCTGAAATTTAGGTTTATAATTTATTGGACTTGGATCTGAAAATCCGATAAGTGACATATATGCTACTGATAAGAACTAAGTCTGAAATTTATAATAAACTTAAATTTACTAATTTAAAAACTTAAATTTACAGGGTCTCGTTTTCTCTTGGTAGCACTCATATGAGTGACTCCAAGGGAAAAGGGCACCTCAGCAATTTAAGTATATTATTATACATTACCATTAACGTTGATAGACATTTTATAATAACGTTTGTTATAAAATTGAAAGCCCGATCTGCATCGTTGCTGAACTCGATAATTAATCAGTAATATACTTATATTGCCGAGGTCCCTTTTCCCTTGGCGTCACTCATATGATGTATATATCCATGAGATAAGTGAAGTTAGTTGAATAGTAAGTATCATTGATAATGTTGCAAGTGGGAACGGAATTTAAGTGGATTTGGAATTGATTAAGATTTTTAGGGTTAGGGTGTTAAGTTTATATAAAATAAATTGTACCTTAAAATTATAATTTCATTTAGAAATTCCAAATCCACTTAAATTCCGTCCCCACCTACAACAATAACATAAAAGATAATTTCATTCATTCGTCAATTCAGAATAGCCATTGATAATGAGTTTGCAAATGCATAACTTATATTATTCACCGATTATTTTACGATAATCATTTTACTAACGCTAATAATAAGTTCCAAGTCTGATTGGGCGTGCATTATTCTAATGCAAAACGCAATAATTTTAAGGAAGTTTATTTCAATATACATATATATTTCATATGGGCGGAAATTTTTAGTGGAGAGCTGTGACATAACAAAGTAATAGGTCATTTGAGTAATATACTACTTATAAAAACTGATAAATAACGGATCAGTTTTGGATCATTCTGGGGTTATTT